GAAGATGAGTCTTGTGTGCACGTTTGCATGGAAGAATCCAGGGGAGAGTAATCAGCACGGTAGTGGTGGGTGGGGGAAATTGCTGGATTGACGTCCTTGACCTTGGAGAGGACACAGACCTCAGTGCCCGCCCTCGCTTTTCCGCTCCCCTGCCTCTTCTCACCCTCCTCGACCCTTTCCTGTTACGTGAATTCTTTTGTCTTCTAATATAGACTTAGCCCTTCACGAAAAAAGGAAAATATATTCATAGCAGCCTGCAACGGAAGGCAGCTAACACACCTGCTCTCACAATAGCCAGTTTTGTTGTGTGGGTCAAATGAGATTTTGTACAGAAAAGCCCTTTGGAAGCCATCAGTCTCGGAACTTCGTTTTGAAATGGCAGAAACACGTTCTCAGCGCCGCAGCCGTGTGGGCTGGCCTCTCTGCACGCCCACGAGCGGTCCTCTCCCCTCCGTTCCGCTTTGCCTAGTCGACATGGAGCGACCGAGTCCTGCCTGCTGCTTTCAGCCGACACTCTGAGTCTCATGTCTACATGTTACCGCGCCTGCTGGGAGAATTCAAAGCAAAGGTCTGCTATTCGGCAGGCTGCTGAATTTTTCACTCGATACCTTAAGCCTGGAGTGATGTGTCCCAGAGAACTTTTGATGCGTTCTAATGAGTGTGAATAGTGCCCCCACTGGCATTAAGCTTGAAGGGGGGCACAGAGGACGGTCCCGACCCACCTGGATTCAAGGACCGTTTCTTTCACCTGTCTCTCTTCTAGTGCCCACAAGCCCCTTGCTCACTTCTCTTTGAAGGTCTCACTTTTTCGCCCCGGATTCACTGTCTGAAACCACCGTGGAGATGCGTGGCTTTGTTAGTATTTGTCTTCGACCCTCTTGGCAATTAGACAACAGGCTGTTGGCATCTGAAAGGAGGTCACCTTGTTCAGTGTCGTCAGTCTCCACCTTTCAGACACACCTTGGTCATAGACAAGGTTGGGAAAGTATGGATGAGAGCCTCACTTCAGACACCGCTGAAATAAGGTTACAGACAGGAAGAGGCAGCGTTAGGGCCAGACCTCACGTGTGCTGACTCCCAAACTGTCCCTTGTATCCTCTGAGATTCGTGCAGTTGCATGGAAAACGGCCTTCTCCATAACGGGGAGATCACACGCGGAGTCTCGAGGTGGCCGTGGGAATAACCCAAGGGCTACGCAGTGTCGCCAGAGCCCCGGGTTGGCACGTGGGGTGACCCTCCCTTTCCCCTGGTGTCTGCGACAGCTCAGCAGGACGGGGACTCACTGGCTGTCTCTCCTCATGTGAGCGTGGAAGTGTGTCTCAAAGGCCACATCCAGATTCGCCTCCTGTTTTACTGGCCAGGAAGAAATGATTTGTTCTATCCTGAAAGTTACCAGCAAGAAGCACAGAATTCGTGAGCTTGGCTAGCCGCCCTCACCTGGGGGAGGGCTCCCCCTTGCCTGGGACCTGAGCCTGAGGGAAGCTCCCGCATTCCTGGCAAAACTGGGGCAGCTGGCAAGGGAGGGGGCCCTTGATGGTTGGGGGCACGTCCCCGTGGGTTTCTCCCATTTCTGCTTGTCCTCCGAGCTGGGGGCATGGACCGCTCTCCCTGTGCGGAGACACAGGTAGCAAACAGCTTGGGAAGGTAGAGGTAGGATCTCAGGACAGACCTTAGATGTGGAGATAAAGCTGGAGTCGCTGCTCACGCCAAGTTGCTCTTGGCCCCTTTCAAAGGCTGGAGTTCCCTGAGCCCAAGGCTCTTCAGCTGGGACAGAAACCCCGGTATGTGCGGGGTCCGCCTGAGCTCTCCCCAGGACCCCATGGGCTGGGGGCCGGGGAACCCACGCAGAGCAGAAAGCCACGCCCCTGCTGTGCCATGAGCGATGATGAAGTCTGTCTGCAACCCACGGTGCTCCTGTCTTCCCCCGCGCCTGTGAAACTGGGCAGCCCACTGGTCAGTCTCCAAGTAGAGCAAAGCCCCGGGGCCTCCCGTTTCTCGACACTGATGCAGTGTCTGCCACAGCATTCTCCCCCGGGGCGCAACACAGACCCCCAGCTCCAGATGCACACTTCGGGGAGTGAGAATATTCCCAGGAGTGAAGAAGGTGCTTCTCCACGGGGAGAGGCAGCTTGCCGCTGGAGACACCTCCCTTTTCTCCGCTCGCTGACTGGCTCTGTAATTATCTCTTTTAAAATGTCAGTTCCTCTCACCCAGAAGACCAAGAGCAATCAGCCACAGACAGAACGGGAGAAGCTTTTAAAACACACGTGTCGTGCGGCCGGGAGATGGGATTTCTCAAAGGCATCCCTCAGCCGCGTCAGGGAGCGGACAGCGCAACAGGGTGAAAAGAACTCTTCCCTGCCCACACCCGGGGCCCTGCACCCCCTTCCCAGGGCTGCTGCCAATGTGAGGGCTTTTTCAGTGGCACCTGGAGGGAGGACTCTGCCCCCAGGGGCACTTGGCTTTGAGTCCAGCTGGGTGAGGCTCCTGTAGGCTGTGGGAGCTGGGCTCTCCTTCTGGAGAGCACGCGTTGGTACGAAGGCCACATGTCCAGAGGACAGACAGCCTGACAACCAGCCCGCCCCCCACCCACGGTGACAGCGTTTATGTCTCAGTCTCTGTTTGATGCACTGAGGGGCCACAGTTTACCGCCCTGTTGACGGCTGCCAGGACAGGGTCGCTGGCTCTGCATGGCAGCATCGCTCTCCCATCACTGTCCTCCACCACGGGGGTCCAAGGTGCCCCCCCAAACTCCTCCCCTCCATACCTCAGTTTTCAAGCAACGGTTCTAATGTCTGTCTTTGAGCCTTTATGTGGTCTCTGCATGTTCCACGTGTGATGCCACCCTGTATCTGTCCCCTTCTGGCGTGTCCCCGTCATCCCTTCCAGCTCCATCCACAGTGACCTTTCACAGACCCGGCCAAGACTCCGGTGCAGCAGGAAGAGCGGAAATCAGGGCAGCGTTTGTCCCTTCGAGCAAGCCTTGGGGCTAACCTCAGCTTATCCCTAAATTCTGTTTCCCTGGTGGCTGTTGGCGACTTTCCAGGAGCACCTCTGTCTGCATGACCCCCTGATGTCCCGCCGCCTTCTGTCTTTAAGGCACCAGCTAAAATGTGGCCGCAACGGAGCGAACTCTGAAGGCACTTTTTCCCCTTTGGCTATTTCCATTCAGAAATAAAGGGCGAGGCCATTGGCCCAAAGCAAAGACTGCCCATCTGCCTCTGACAGCACGTCCCCAGACGCCTGGCGAAGGCCACTGGCCTCCACCAGCCCACACGGGCCCCCAATTCAGTTACTGTGCCAAGGGGTATGTGGAATCACCACAGGTGCCAAATTCAAGCTCTCTTTCCACTGATAGAAAGGATCGAGATTCCTTGGTACAGTGGGTTGATTCAATTGAGCTCCGCCACTATCATGCCCGAAGGCCAGTGAAGCTGACGCAGCTTTCGGTAAGGTCTGGCCCGGGTAAGGGAGCAGCCCCGGTCCTGGAAGAGTCGGACCACTGCGGCTTGTAAATTACAAGTGCGATTGCTCGTGACATCATCTCAAAACAGTGCCAGCCCAAGAAGCTGTTTTTCCATTAGCTGGGGGGAAAATGACAGATATTTAATTAAACTGCTCGGAGATGAGGCAGAAGGCCCAGTGGTAGACAGAGGCTGGGTCTCTGTGTGGGCCACCTCAGTCCACCGGGAGACGCAGCTTTCATGGCGCCGAGGGGTCTCCCGCCGTGGGGCCCTGGGGATGAGGTGGGGGTGCCCCTCGGCCTTAAGCTTCCCGCTCCCCAACCCCCAATCACAAGAAAAACAGACATAGCACCAGGTGGTCACTGAGGGAGTGCAGGCCTGAAGTTGAAGTGAGAAAGCTCTTTACAACTGACGTCGCCAAAGTAACCACCTCGTGCCCTTCTCTGCTGCGAAGGGTGAAGGTTACCGAGGGAGGTTGGCCTAGAGCAGATGTCAGCAAAAACGGGGACCCGGCCCCGTGCAGGAGGCGAGGTTCCCGGAGGAACCAGCCAGCCCGGGGCACAGCCTGAGCTTCGGGGTGTGGTGTGGTCTGCAGGGGCCTGGAGTGCCTCTCCCAAAGCCTCCAGGCCCCACACGCCTGCAGGCCACCAGCATCACCTCGGGGGACCCAAGGAGCCCAGACTTCCTGTGGGGACCCCAGTGATGCGATGAAGCTCATTGAGCTTCCCCACACAGCAGTTCTCAACTCCTGTTGCCTTTTGGTCTTCAAACCGGAGCCAGTGTCTACTCCAGTCCAACTGAGGCAGGCATCAGACACTGTTTCAGAGACTGACGGGCAGCCAGCTCAGCTGCCTGTGGAGCTCAGGGCATGCAGAGTCCACAGGTCTGTGGCTCTAAAATCGGGGAGCCTGGCTCCCCTTGTGCCCCTCCTGATGAGTCTAGGACACTCGCCATGTGAGCCCCTGCCCCCATCCTCGGCACCCCACATGGGTTCTGACTTCTGGGCAGCTTTTTTTCTAAGGTTTATTTATTCATGCACACAGAACTGGGGTATAAGCCAGAGGTGTCGAGGTGGCGAGAGGCTTCACCAGAGGCAGAGCGGGGAGCAGAACAGACAGATCGCTGAAGCACACTGCTGAGGGGAGCAGCGGGCGGGTCAGGAGAGGTCTGCCACGCCATGTGGTCACCTGCGGGGCAGGCGGGGATCGAACTCGCACTGAAGCGGCTGCGTCCAGCCTGCAGTGCTGCGTCCTTACTTGTTGTGCCACCAAGGAGGGCCCAGACTTCTGGGCAGCTCTTAGAGATTGAGAATGGGAAGGCACACCAGCCCCCAGCCCAAGCCGCCCGCACTCCCTGGCCTCTGGCCAACACTAACACCCACTTTGTCCTTCCTCAAGTGACCGGGCCACGGAGCTTGGCACACAGCAATGGGCTCAGGTGATTTTTCTCTCCCTGCTTTGCTTGTCCTCCAGAATCACCGCTGGCCGGTACCTAGGAGGGAACACTCACATCTTCTTCCACTTTCTGCTCCTCCAGCTGCCACAGAAGTCTCCTTTTCCTTTGACGTTGGCAACGGGCCCGTGGAGATCGTGGTGCGGTCGCCCTCGCCCCTCAACGACGACCAGTGGCACCGGGTCACCGCCGAGAGGAACGTCAAGCAGGCCAGCCTGCAGGTGGACCGGCTGCCGCAGAAGACCCGCAGGGCCCCCACCGAGGGCCACACCCGGCTGGAGCTCTACAGCCAATTGTTCGTTGGTGAGTCACGCCCCGGCCAGGCCGTGGCCGCCCCGCGGGCGCCAGCGACCCAGAGGGAGGGACGCGCACTGAGGGGCTGCACAGAGCTCTTTCCCGGAGTAGGGACGGTCTCCCCAAGACAGCATAGAATAGGGACAAGGCTTGGGGGGAGCCCAGATCAGGTCCCCCCACCCCCACCCCGCCCCAGAGCCCGCGGGCCTCGGCAGCAGAACCAGAGGCAGCAGCGAGTGGAGCTGCACAAGTTTAGGTTTCTGGTTTTAAAACTGTATCATGATGTTCTTTCCTTAGTTAGGACTCTTGTAACTGGGCAGAAGGAATAGCGGGAGGGAGAGATGGAAGGAGGGAAAGAGGACAGAGGAGAAGAAAATGGCTTCTCCGAGTTCAGTTTGCTTGAAATGGTAGGTAGAGTCCTCGCCTTTCTCTGCCCAACCTCAAGGTGCCAGGCAAAGGCACATGTAGGGGCCTCCCTGGTGCCTAGGGGTCAGGTCTCACCACTGTCACCTCGAGGGCCTGAGTTCAGTCCCCGGCCAGGAAGGACCCCCAGGGCGCAGCAGACCACTCCTGTCTCCCCGCTGCTCAGCAGTGTGTTTCAGTGGATCCGCCTCTTCTGCTCCCCACTCTGTCTCTGGGGAGGCCTCTCATCCTCTGCACCTCTGGCCTGCACCGCAGCTCTCTGCATAAATAAGTAAATCTTTTTGAAGAAAAGGCAAATTTAGTCCTCGCACATGATAAAGACATTAACACAGAGGAGAGCAAAGAACTCCTCCACCACCCCCCCACAGGAACCGGTTCAGGCCTCACTGTCTTCCCCTCTAGCATATTCCAGCTGAGCCTAACATTGCTCAGATCAATACCTATTGCCATGGCCAATTCAACTGTAAACTTCCTTGTCCGGAAGGGAAATAGCCATATCCTCTGCTGAATGGAAGGAACAGCACTTTGTGACTGTGTCACCAAACCCCTCCCCCCCCCCCCCCCCCCCCCGAGTTTCTGGGAGCTGATTGATCCAGTCAGTCTCAGGCCAGGTAAAACCAGGGCTGTCCCCCCGCATCACACCTGCCTCGCTGAGGGCCAGCTCCTGTGGCCAGGGCCCCGTCAGTACCATCCGCAGTGGTGTTGCGGTGCTGTAAGAACATCCCAAAGCCATAGCAGAAAGGGAAGATGAGGTGCGGTTCCTTTGGCCAAAGTGGGCAGCCCACGCTGTGAACTTAGCTGGTGGCGTTGTTGGTGAAACCGACTTGAGACGGGCCACAGCAGTCAGCCACGGGCCACGGAACAGTCCCTGACTGGAGTCCGGCAGACTCTTCCACCCAACGAGATCCCATTCTTTGAGAACCAAGTAATTTTGGTTCTCAAAATTATTTTCAACTATTTTTTATTAGTCAGATGTCAGAGCTATTGATTCCACTGAATATTGTGGGCAGATTTCTCTTTACCAATATGTCTTGCCCGGATCACCTAAAACAAGTTAAAAATGGCTCATCCCAAGAGTGCTGGTTACATTCTGCTTGACTTCATCATAACAAGTGACCCTAACTGGCCACTTCTCATTTCTCTGCCTATGTCTCTGGGTGTGCTGGTCTCATTTTACTCTCCTCCCTTTCTGACCACTGAATACAGCGGTCCCCCAAGAACTTTGGAGACTGAGTAAAGTTGTAAAATGGAAGGGAGTATTTGTTAGGGCCTTGGAAAAAGAATTTTGATTCATTTGAACACAATGACCCAGAACAGCTCATAAAAAGAGAGAAGAATAGGGCTGAGGTCAGAATATGACAGAACAATTAAACTTACATGACAGGCAGAAAAATAGCATCTCAGCAAGAAGAATGTTGGGGGCTAGAAAGAACCAGCAAGAAAAAACCTAGGGGAGAGAAAGGCCAGTTTCACGAAATTATTACTGACAAATAATATCAATGTCACACATGAAATATGTCCCCTACTTTGGTCATTATGTAGCCTCTGATGAGCTTGATCAGAGAAGTGGGCCGAGATGATGAATTCTCCCGTCTCTCACTTCCTGGGATCATTGAGGCAGCAAGACAGGCTGCTCCCAGACACGAGCTATTTGGGCCAAGATTAAAAATAGTCCTCTGCACGGAAGTGTGCCCCACGGGGCTGGGTGAGGGCTTATGGGCAGAGAAAAGCAGATTCAACACCTCTGAGATCCTGCAGCCCTTTCGCCAGGTCTACCCAATAGGGATTCTGACAACGCGAGACTCGTTCTCAGTCCAGCCCTCCCAGGAAGACCCACTGTGACCCAGTAGACTCTTCCCTCCGAGTCTTGCTTCTCATCTGTCCTATAAAGGAGCTGGGTGATCTTGATCAAGAAGTTTGACCTTCAAGATTTCTTTCCATTTGAATCATTGTTGGCTACAGTTTTAGGGCTGGCTACAGAGGCCTGTGTGACAGTCATCTCCCCTCCCTGTCTCATGGGGCTAAGGTGGCTTTGAAAGCCTCCTCTCCCGCTTACCAGTGGAACAGCCAGCAGCAGGCACTTCACAGTGCTGCCTCTCAGGATGAAATGGGGTGCTCCTTGCTCGGGGGAGCGCCTGGTGTAGAGCCAGCGGCTTATTCTCTGCTTCCATGGAATGTGACTCCCTCTCCAGAACCACATCCACCTGGTTCAGTGGTTTCATCCCATGACTGACCTGACATGGAAACCCACAAGCTTGAAAGGGAAGTGCCCTCCTCCAGTGCCCCCGTGCCCTCTGCTGCCCGGCACATGCCCAGAGCAGCGAGCTAGGCCATCCCTCTTGTGCAAGATGGCACCCAGAGGAGCTGAAAAAACGTTCTCAACTGTCCTGGGTCTTTTGTGTTGGGTGGGAGGCCCAGTTGGAGATCCCTGGGGCCACGGGACCCTCAGACTAAAGGGGGCCTGAAGACTGTCCCCTCTTCTCTCTAGCAGTTAGTCTGTCACAAAGCTTTTCCTCCTCGTGGCCACTTGAGTTTGTGGAAGAGTTGAGTCTTCATAAGTGGGAGGTTGAGCCAACGCAGACAGCAGTGCTGAGCTGCCTGAGCTAAGCTGGGCTAGTGGCCACGAACAGCCCATTTCCCAAGCTGGACAATACAGTGTGCCTGATCAGCGGCCCCGCACACCCTCTGTATTCCAGGAGCCTGTCTGCCATGGAGAGTGCAGATAACATGCACATTTGTGTGAAGTGAACCAAGTGGGATGCGCCCACGTCTCATACGAACGAAATGGTTATAGGAGCCGAGAAGTTTAGGATAAAAAATATACAACGTCCAGGAAGTAAAGCACAGAGACCATTTCCTGCAAAGCTGACTCATTAGTAACAAGGACAGTGCCCGCTGCCTGTTCTGGATGACCCTCAACAACAAGGGTTCCCTGGCCCACACCCCTCACTTAGCTCCCAGGACGCGGATACCTAGATACTCTGGTTCTTAAGAGGACAGGCTGACCCACAGACAGGCAGCCCCGTTCACACTGGGCTGCCCTGTAACATGACTCCTTCCGGTTTCATTTTCACAATGGAGAAACTGAAGCTATGGATGAGTTAACAGTTTAAGGCTATGCAGATTCAGACCTTGGCTTGTGACAAAAAGGCACAGCTGGAGTTTGCTCTCAGACTGTCTGGCTCTCAGTCCTCTGTCTTGTCAAAGCAAAAAATGGCGCCCAGCTTGGTGGGGCAGGGAAGGCGTTTCTCTCCAGGTCTGGGCAGCAGGGAGAGTCCGACCCTGGGGCGAAGCGCCACACCTCTGAAACAAGGAGATTTGTTTTTCGTGTTTGCTTTTTGTTTTTCTTTATGTTGTGGTAAGATACACAACAGGAGAGTTTCCAGCATTGAGAAAGGAAAGATGGCAGGAGCACTCCGCCCTTGCCTCCGCGCAGACTCCAGAGGAAGAGCAAGCTTCCCACAACCTCCTGACAGGAATGGGACATCCTCCTGACAGGAATGGGCTTGACGGGGAGCCAGGCGCCCACCCCTCAGTAGTTTCCCACATCCTCCTGACAGAAACGGGCTTGACGGGGACCCAGGCGCCCAACCCTCAGCAGTCCGAGTCCTGTCAGCGTCCCATGCACATGCGCAGTGGGAGCGGGAGATGGCGCCCTCCACAGCACACAGTTCAAATAAATGGCCCCACGGACTGGAGAAAGACGGTCCTGGGTCAGCGCTGGCAAAGGACTTTTTAAGAGATATTTACCTCAAAGAGAGAATTTACAATGGCAGGTTTGCCTAAGTAACTGCTCTGAGAAGAGGGAAATCGGGGCTCTGGGGTCCGGAGAAGCCCGTCTAGGGTCTGGTCAAGTGGAGGGAAGTCAAGGCCGTCTTGCCCAGTCCTCTGCCAGGCCCCTCTCTGGACGGCCTGTGGCCCACGGGGCATCTAGGAAGGTGCGTAGCCCGGGTGCTGGCTGAGCTCTGAGGGGCAGGCGAGGCCCTCCGCGGTGCCCAGGGGAACCCTCCCCCGCAAAGACTCGCACCTCCCTCAACACACACTGGGTTGTTTATCACTGACTGAAATCTAGCATGAGAGAAGCCCAAAAGCCAGACTCACAGAGAAAGTCAGGCTGTCACAGGGAAAGGATGCCCTGAGGAGCCCCCTCCCCACTCCAGACCAAAGCCAGCCGACAGGGAAACTGCACATCCCATCCTCGCCGAAGGGGGGGCTGTGGGCTGAGCCTCCAGGTCTGGTGGAGTCAGACAGGTGGGCCTGGGGGTCTCTGCTCTCTTGGCTTTGGGTCTCTGGCCTCTTGGCTCATGGCTTGACTCTCGGCTCCCCCCCCTCTCGGCGTGCCTTGGGGATTCCAGGTCAGCGGGACTGGTAGGCCGCATGTACCCACTCGTCTCCCTCGCCTGCTGCCCGAAATAGTCACGTCCTCGCTTCCCCCTCTGTAAGTAAACCCGACATGGACCTGTGTGCCCGCGGTGGAGTAGTGTAAGTCACTTCAGCGCATGGGTGAGGACCCACAGCCGGGCACCCCATTTCATAGTGGGGTTGCCCTGGAACAGGGGGACGATGAGCATCTCAGGTCACTCCAG